GTTCAAGGGGTATGAATACTTTTGCAAACCACTGTATAAATAGTGTCGCATCACCGTCACTCCTCAGTTCTACTGCTCTTCACCTCGCTAGAACACCTCTCTCAACTTAGCTAATTAGCTGCTGCTAATTAGCTTTGTTTGTTTCGAAGGATCTGGAATTTAGCTTAACGGCTTTAGTTGGTGTTAGTCGCAGCTGCCTGCCGGTAACTGTGCCTGCCCGCGGAGCGCTAAATTTTTTGCAAAAGCCAAAGTGTTTCCACACACTGGACCGCAACGGTGGCTTGATAATTTCTCTCTYATCAAACGCTTCTTCTCTGCTGTCCTCCATGCTGTTTTTTGTCTGCTCGTGTGAGTTGATGACGTCACGGACAATCAGAGTGAATCCAGTAAAATTTAGTTCAGTCTAGTTTAGACTTTATTGAACATAATGAATTTAAAAGAATAAACAAAGCTATATACAAAAGAAAAATAAATTTAAAACAAAAAGCAAACAAAAGAAAAATAAATTTAAAACAAAAAGCAAGCAAAAAACAAGAACAACAATAATGAATTATATTTACACATTCAAAGGAGTGGGTAGAAGTATAAACTTATTTTTTACACCCACCCCTCTTACATCTAAAAAAATCATCCATAATTACAACTTATATTAACTTGGTTAGAACATTCTTTCTTTTTTTTTTTTTAATATTTTCTACATCCATATCTCTAACTTAAACAAAAATTTCATTTTTTTGCGTCCATCATTTTTAATACATTAACATTTTTTTCAGTAAATCATAATACTGCAGTAAGTGACAATTTCTTTAAACAAAGCATTAACATTAATGATAGCAGCAATTACCATACTTATTTCTCATATTGATATGCAGTGATGACCATCTTCTTAAAAGACATTTTAAACTGTTTTATATTAGGACATTGCTTGATTTCCATACTTACACCACACCACAGCTTCACCCCATGTACTGATATACAAAACCTTTTCCTTGTGGTTCTATATTTTCAAATTTTAAAGTCACATTTTTTCCTTAAATTATAAAGTCCTTACTTTTTGAAAAAAAGCTTTTGAATATTTCTCGGTAAGAAATTTTTTTTTGGCTTTAAACAAAATAATAGCCATTTATAAATTCACTGTGTCTGTAAATTTTATAAGTTTAGATTTCATAAATAGTGCATGTATATGCTCCAGATAACCAACCTTATTGATTATTCTTATTGATCGTTTTTGTAATGTTATTATTGACTTTAGTGAAGTTCTGTAGTTGTTGCCCCATAACTCTGCACAATAACTCAAATGAGGTAAGACTAGTGAACAGTAGAGAATGTCAAGAGCTGTTTCTTCTAAAACAGGTTTAACTTTATTTAAAATAAATAGGCTTTTTGGCAGTTTACTTTGTATAAATCTAATTTGAGGTTTCCATGTTATTTTATCATCATGACCCCAAGAAATTTATAATCATTTTCTCTTTCAATATTTACACCATATATCTTTATTTTTATATCTTTATTTGACTTACTATTCCCAAATAACATTATTTTTGTTTTGGTCAGATTTAAGGACAACTTATTCCCATCAAACCATAAGTTCAGGTTATTCATAGTTTCAGTCACATCATCAAGCAACTGCTCCATATCATCTCCAGCAAAAAAGACGTTAGTGTCATCTGCAAATAAAACAATTTTAATATCTTTTGTTATATTACATAGATCATTTATGTATATAATGAATAATTTAGGCACCAATATTGAACCCTGAGGAACCCCACAAGCAATGTCCAAACATACAGAGATAACATTTTCCATCTGTACAT